TGAGGAAATTTGTAACCTGACCACCCGATGAAATTGGTTGTTTCACATTTGTAATATTGTTAGAAATCTTGAAGCCATTGATTTGGACTTAATTATACATTTCTCAAGCTTTGGATAATCATGAAACATATGCCATCACTTTAATTTATTCTCCATACCCACCAAGCTTGAATAGAACATTGTAACAACCCGTCCCAAAATTTCTCTTACTTTTTGAAATTTTTGAGGAAATTGATCGTTTTGCCCTTCTCAAATGGTGACTTTTTGGTCCACTTTTGTTCGGGACGATTTTTGGTAGACGTGTACTGCATGTGAATCGGAGTTGTAGCGAAAAAGTTATGATCAATGGAAATGTAAGGGCATTATTCTCATGTTGGAAATAAATTGTTAAAACCCTAACCCTAGAAGGATCATTCAAACAAAGATGGATCAAATTTTTTAAAAATATAATAGCTTTTGCAGTGTATATGTAGATGATATACTTGTCCATAGTTATAAGTAGAAATCAAGTAGAACTTTACAAACAAGTCATGAATTTTTAGTCATGTATATTAAATTAGGAACCATACAATTGCAAGAACATATAGTTAAAAAAAAATATAAGGAAATAGCTCTAAATGCCACCCTTTTTATAATTTTAACTGAAAATACAACCCCTCCCCAATTTTTTTGCAACTATCACCTATAAATATATATTTATTGTCTACTTATTGCACACATATCACTTATGCTGAAATTTTGTTCCCTCTCAGCTCGCTCAGCTCCCTATTCACTCTCTCTGTGTTCGCTTGCTTTCTCTCTCTCTCTCTCTCTCTCTCTCTCTCTCTCTCTCTTTTGAATCGCAAAACCCTTCCTCGACCCCATCTTTTAGGTATGTCTTCTGAATAGCTGCTTGAAACCTTTCCCCTCTCTCTCTCTCTCTCTCTCTCTCTCTCTCTCTCTCTCTCTCTCTCTCTCTCTCTCTCTCTTTTTTGAATCGTGAAACCCTCCCACGACCCCATCTTTTAGGTATGTCTTCTGAATAGCTGCTTGCAACCTTGAAGCTTTACTGGATCATTGACCTCAAATAGGTAGCGTTGATGGTTATTTTCTTAATATCTGTGGGATTCTGTGAAATTGGTTTTATTTTGATTGCTTGGGTTTCTATTAAATTGGTTTTGGCTTTAATTGCTTTTGGTTAGATTTTTTGAATCTTCATGCTCATCCATCTGGGTTTTTACCAATCTCATTTAGATTTTGGATATGTGAATCTTGAAACTTGGGCTTTTCCATTTGATGTAGTAGATTTGTATAGTGTGATTGTGATGAATCCTTGTTCACTGCTGTGTTAGTGTTGTATTGCTGTTGTGTTCATGTTATTTTGCTGTCATATTGTTGTTATGTTGTTGTTATATTGCTGTTATATTCTGTTATATTGTCATTGTCTTGCCTGGTTATTGTGGTTGTATTGTGTTAATGAAATGTTATTTTGTCATGGTCAGAAATGGAGACAATTGTTATTCTGGTTTGCTACAATGAAAAATGAGTAACCTCAAAGAAGATGTGCAAATACGAAGGGGGTGACTCAAAAGGCTTAATAGTTCCACGAACCAGCACATTTGCTGAACTATTGGATCATATGCATCAGATTGGTAATACAAACAACATGGAACACAAGGTTTGCTTAAAGTTCTCAGTTTTGGTGGCCTCGAATGAGTGGAAGCACATAAAGATTGAGTTGCAGGGTATCCCACCGCCCAAGCAGCCATCTAGTATTGGGCATCCGATTCGATATGTAAAAAACAAGTATCAAAACATTGAGGCAACTTTTACATTTATAGTCTCTGCAACTCAATGTTGTCATTCTGGTATATTCAATATCTTGAAGAATGACCTACTGGAATTTCTAAGCATTGGATGCCACAAAATAGGTAATGTAGAGACTATAAATGGCACCTACAATTTCCCTTCTTTGGATGAAAAAAACAACAGGAAACACATACTTCAATTGCATAAATCGCCAAAACCATTAAAACCATAATGGAACGGGAATAAAATCATAATAAACTAGCAATACAACAGCACTAATAAAATGCCAATACAAAACCACTAAATTGGCAATACGATAGCAAAAAACATCACTAAAACATCAATAACAACAGCAAAGCAACAGAATCCCAAATCAGACGCAAGAATCAATCCATAAAGAACAAACCCATTCAATGTTTCAAACAAGGAATCATCAAAATCAGACAATTTCAAAGAAACCCCTCAACCCTAAACCAATTTCAGAGAAACCCCTAAACCAATTTCAGACAAACCCCTAAACCAATTTCATAGAAACCCATAAACCCTAAACCAACTTCACAGAAACCCCTCAACCAATTCAAATTGACGATGAACAGTATCTTTTGCAGGTGAACGATGGAAGAGGAAGATAACTGCGTCAGAGAGAGAGAGAGAGAGAGAGAGAGAGAGAAAGCTACATGAGAGAGAGTTGTGCAAGAGGGGCCAAGAGCTTCCTGCGACTGTGAAAGAGAGAACAGAGAGTGAGAGCTGACCAAAGAGAGAGTGAGACCTAAGCAACAGAGACAGAGAGAGTTGAGCAACAAAGAGAGTGAGAGGCGCAATAGAGAGAAAACAAAAGTGATATGTGTGCAATAAGTAGTCAATAAATATATATTTATAGGTGATAGTTGCAAATTTTTGGGGAGATGTGGTATTTTCAGTTAAAATTATAAAAAGGGTGGCATTTAGAGCTATTTCCCAAAAAAAATATTGAAATTTTTAGATGAATTAGAAGATAAAAAGCAGTTACAATCATTTTTAGAATTATCAAATTATGCTAGCAATTTCATTCCTAATTTAGGTAGAAAGATAGCAACATTACATAATAAAACTAGCAAAATATGTCAAAAATATTTTAATAGGGAAGTAGCAGAATTGGCAGCTGTTGGCATGTAATTGCACTTCAGTACTTGTTCTGCTTGACTGAGGATCACTCGTGAGTTATTCTAGTGAGCTTAGGGCATCAAGGTGTTTCTGAGCATTTGTCAAGGTTTCCATATGATGAACAATCTGAGTTTTGCCTGGTTCGCATGTTCTTAACTGAATTTGTAACAACAAAAAGTTGAGTTCTGCTTGATTCTTTTGAGCTGCATCATATTTGCAACGAGAGAAATCTCGTTTTTCCTGTTGGTTAGCTGCTTCTCTAAGCTGGATTAAAGTCAAAAATCTAAGTTCTACTTGTTTTGTTGAGAGCTGGATGGCTTTTGTAAGCTAGATAGCTTGATTGCTTCTGAGTTTGAAGGCTTTTGAGATCGTATGATCGTGCTTGATTTTTGTCAATTTGACTGAGAATTCTTGGTTGTTTGTTTTTATTGGTTTGATTTGATTGTGTTGATTTGATTTTTGGCTATCCTTGCTCCAGTTCACGTACTCTTGTATTTATAGAGAAATGCATGATGAGAACTAGAGCACAACTGCTGAAAAGTGTTAACCCACTAACCCTTGGTAGCTCTAAGAGAATAAATTAGCTTTCTAGCTTTGCTTTTCTCAACCCATTTCCGCAAAAGCCTCATCTCGGTAGATTATTCCTTGGCTTGTAGTTGCCTATTTTCCTAGGAAGCCCCCTGGCTGTGGTTGAGAAGAGTGTCGAGTGCTGCTTTTACCTTTCTAGCTCTAGAGTTGCTAATTTGGTTTTGAGTTGGTAACCAACGGTGATGATCAAACCCTCAAGCTCAAAATATGTAATCCGGAAACTGGATAAAGAATAAACTAATTAAATTTGGGTATTAGATGAAATCACCATTGATGGTAATTAAAATCTATCCTGTGAAAATTACTTTGGGTAATGTTTATTTTAACCCCCTTCTTTGAAATGACCTGGGCTATTTTCCAATTTTGGCAAATAGAGCGCAAGTTTGTTTTGTTAAAAATAACCCAATAGCCAAATGGGCTGATGTGCAGAAATTAGGCCTAAACAGGGTAAAATGAAAGTGTTCTGCACTTCTTTTATAGAACAAGAAACCATTCATTGATTGGTTGTAAAGTTTTGTGATCAGAACTTCAAATGAATATTTGTCTTTACATATTGAAATCTTAGATGACTATTTCATGATCTCATATGAGTAAACAAATTAATAAAATTATAACTATTATTGAAGATATTATAACTAACAAAACTTGAAATTACAAGAATATCAAAGCATAGGAATCTGAAGTCAACCTCAGGGGGTTTTGTTTTTTTTTTTTTGTTTTTTGTTTTTTGTTTTTTTTTTTTGGCGTTGAACTTGTACTGCTACACAAATCTCTTCCAGCAATGGATGGAAATGAGTGTCGGTATTAGAACCCACCTCCTTGCTCCTTCGAACATTTAACGACACCTCTTTATGCCTTTGTCAGTGCTCGATGGGTTATTCCTGGGCATCAAGCAATATGAAAACTTCTTTACATTTGATTAAAGTTTAATATGGTGAGTAGTGTATTTATTAAAATTATATTTGTTGATATATCCTTTTTAGTCATTTTATATTAGGATAAATTAGTAATTTAATAAATAGTTTGTAAATATGGTGTACTTAGTTAATTTTAGAGTTCGTTTAGCAGCACTCTAATTCTACTAACTCAACCAAACGAGTCACGCTTTATAGCTAATGTATATACTATAAGAAAGACTTTAACATTAAAAGAAATACATATAAAATAAGTACCAAATTGTACATTCACTGGAATAATACAATTATGTACAACAATTTAAATACAACAAACCATATACCTAAATAATATTGAAACGACAAACAAATTTTGTTTTTTATTCAATTGCAAAGAGGAAAAAAACAAAACTCTACAAAATAAAATAAGACAATAAAATACTGTATTTATTGTAATACCGATAGTGTGATGATATGCTACTTTCCGCGTAACGGTTACTTTCCTTGTAATACCAACTATACCCTCGGTCACAGATTCTATAAATACCGCCATACTCTCGCCTTCCTCGCTCACACTCTCTCATTTCTCACGATCGCTACATTCGCTACCTTTCACTGCCATTCTCTACAAGTTTTGATCAGTCGCTAATTAATCGCACTGACTATATTGCTAATCTCTCTGTTATTCAATTAATTTCCACTCGAAATTGATTTATTGATTTATGGCTCTTCCTAAATCAAACCCTAGGGTTTCAGCGTCCATGAAGATGAAAAGGGTCTCTGATGCTATGAAGCCTCAGAAAACTGCCATGGCCAAGAGAGGCTCCACTCTGAAGAATAAGGCCGGCCGACTCTCGAAGCTGTGCGATATTGCCGTTTACATGATCGCTCTTGGTGCCGACGGCAAGATCAACGATTGGCCGGAAAACCAACAAGATTTGAAATCAGTTCTACTCAAGTACAAGAATCTGAAGAGGGGTTTCAAAGATCGAATTGAAAAGGGTCTGTTCTCCGTCGAAAAGGGTTTCTTGGAAATTGTTGATGATCGAGAAAATCGGGATTTGGGTATTCAGGATAATTGCTTGGGGGCCAAGTTGGAGTCTTTGAATGAGAGGATCGGAGCTGTGACGATGGAGATGATGATGAGGGATGACGGTAAGTGCAGTTTCATGGACTTGTACAAGAATATCATGGAACCAGATCCAGCAGATCAACAACAACTATCATCTCTTAATCTTAATTTGAATCTTCATCCAACTGATCTCGTCGAACCCAGACCCAAACCCAATTTAATTGGTGAGATTAATTTGAATCTTGATCCAGGTGATCTCGTCATACCCACACCCAAACCCAATTTAATTGGTCAGATTAATTTGAATCTTGATCCAGATAACGTCGTCATACCCACACCCAAACCCAATTTAATTGGTCAATTTCAGCAAGATTATCTTTCATCAATTCATGAACCAACTGTGGATGCAAATGATTATCTCAGTTTGGTATTGGATAATGATGATCATAATGATGTTGGTCTAATGGAAGATTATCTGCAACTTTATGATCTTGAATTGCCAGAAGAACCACAAGAGCAGCTGCAGTCGCAATCACCTTCTGTGCCAAGTGTGGAAATTAGTGATGATGATATGAAGTTGCTATTGAGTGATTGTGAGATTGGTTTGATGGAAGATGATATGCAGTTTTGTGATGATCTTGATGATTATGAGCCAACTGTGGATACTATTTATGATTTTCTCAGTTGGGTATTGGGTGATGAAGATCAAAATGATAATAATGCAATGGAAGATGATGTGCAACCTCATAGCACTTATCATATTACTGATGATGAGCATGATGACATTAGGTTGCTGTTGACTGATTGTGAGATTGGGTTGATGCAAGAAGATTTGCAGTTCTGTGACAATGACTTGAGTGAATTTTTGGCGCCTCTTCAAACCATGTTGCTACAAGACCCACAACATCAGCCTCATTCCGAGTTAAATCTTAATTTCTAGTCTTCATCTGTAATTTTATGTTTTTCAGTAGCTTAGGTCAAAATCTGTTGTGTTTCTGTTTGGTTGATTGGATGGCCATCTCAGGATCAATCCTTATCAACCAAAATCTGATGATGTATATTCTGCAATATTAGACCAGATTATTCTATGTTTTTCTTTGTACAGCTCAAGTGAAGAGCTTTTGGTGTAGATCCTTTTATTCATCATACTTTCACACCACAAGTGATAATGAAGAGCATAACCAGTATTTTCATATTAAAAACAACAAATCACAAGGCTTTTTATTAGATATTGAAGAATAAAATTGATTATACAAATTAATAGGGAAAAGCTGTCCAAGCCAATCAAAATTACAAAATGTATATATAAAAAAGACAAAAAGAGTAGTGATGAGATTTCTTCTCTCTGACTCACTACTATGCTAATTTTACCCTGAAAAATGTATTTGACATTCTGAAGGTTACCCAGCTCAGCTGCAGCGTGAAGTTGTTTATCTCTTTTGGAAGTTAAGGAACTTGATACCATAGGCAAAGACAAAGAAGAAGAGCAGGACCCAACCTATATGAGCGAAGAACACAGGTACTACAAAGTCATGTTCATAACCTAGATTGTTCTTAAGGTATAGATCCACTCTCTGAGATCCTTCAGGAGTATCAATAAAGGTCTTATTGTCACCAAATTGAGATGCCATGATGCCATAGATTGTCCAAGCAATTGGAGACCCCCAGTAGTACCACCTCCACCACACTGGGATTAGCTGCAAAATTAAGCATGAATTGTTATTATGGTTGCAATGATAAATTAAGACAACGACTCGAACTGGGTTCCTTAGAAATTTGAACACCTGTTTAACATTCTCAAGACATGAAAATAAGAAGAATAACTGAGTTTCAAATGACATACCGGCCGGGCAATGAGGAAACCAGAGAACAAGTTCCAGAAGTTCGTGAAGAAAGACGAAACGATTGCGGCAATTTGATGGTTAGGAGTTAGTGCAACCATCATCATTCCGTTCATTGTGAAGTAGGTAAAGCACATGAATACGAAGTAGTAGAAGTACAAAAACTTTTCTACCTTCCAAGTGTACCCAATCATAGAATACAGAATACACGAGTACATAAAGGTTTGGATTGCAACGTAAATTGTCTCAATAGCCACCTATAACACCAAAAGATGCATCAATAATGAGATTTTAATAATATGAAAAACGAACGCATAACCGAGTATAATTTCCAGTATTCTTACCTGTGCAAATGCATAAGGCAACTCTGAATACATTCCCGCTGCTCTTTCACGGTAGAAAACTGTTCTCTCAATTGCAATCACGGATTGAACAGCAGAAGCATTGCCAGCTCCAAGGAAAAGAACAGCAGAATAGGTAGCTCCCAAAAGATTGATCAGGTCTTGTTGTTTATGTCTGTTTGCAAGATAAAATTAGTATAAGTGATTGAACAAAACATGCAACTTAAATCGTATAATCACAAATTCAAAGGAATATATTAACAAAAAATGTAGCCCACAATGAAGTTCTTAAACTTACAGCGAGTCTCCTTTGCTCCAGAAGATTACACCAAAGATTATGCCAATGACAGCCGTCATGAAAAACCTAATGGCATTGTATCGCGAGTTTCTCCAGTATGACCAGTGTTGTTTCCAAAAGCAAGCCTTGCATTGAACTATGAAGCTTTGAGAAAATTGGGTGGGAAAGTGAAGGTCATTGGAGCCGGGTAGTGGAATGCTTAGTTCCTTGATAAGTTCCTCATTTCTCCTGAACAATTGAAAATAATTGTTGAAGAATTTTTGTGCATACAATGAAGGGGTTTGTGGGAAAAAGAAAATATAAATTAATTGAATACAGTACATCTTGCTTACCTGTAGAGCTCAGAGTTTGCATATACTTCTGCAAAGTCAATGTTATTTTGAGCCTCAACTGCAGCAGAGCTGACGTCTAACATCCACGTAGCAGGATTGTAGCCTTCTTTGATCTTGGGAACTCCAGGGATGGCCTGCAAGAGGATTAAGATATTATTCAAACTTTGCAACTCTAAAACTCATGGGTCCAAGGATAATATTTCTTGCTGGATAAGATCATAGAATTGCATTGAGATGGAGGATTCAATCACTAATATATTCAACAATATGCACCAGAGTCTAAATGCGTCCTTAGGAGACAGAGTAAGTTAGGGCTAACCTAAGAAAATTTAGGAAAAAAAGGGCTAAACAAATTCAGTTCCAGTATAATCTGTTTGGATATTAGTTAATAGGAACTGAACATACAAGGTAAAGTATAAACTTACCTCAAAATATTCAACAAGCTCATGAGACTGATGACCAAGAGGTCCAGCATAAATCACCTGCCCTCCTCTTTTCATTAAGAAAAGCTGCAAGGGAAAAAAAATCATAAATATGGTACATGAAATGACAACGTTACAAATTCAATAAATTGTATTAGTTGTTCCTACCTCATCAAAAGCTTCAAAAATGTCAATACTCGGTTGGTGAATTGTGCATACAACAGTTCGTCCTGTATCGACAGTGTTTCTTACAGCACGCATAACAATAGCGGCTGCTCTAGCATCAAGACCTGATGTTGGCTCATCCATAAAGATGATGGATGGATTTGCAACCAACTCTACAGCAATAGTGAGCCTTTTTCTCTGCTCAGTTGAAAGTCCATCAACTCCTGGCAGTCCAACTAAAGAATTCCTCAATGGATTAAGCTCAACCAAATCCATAACCTCATCAACAAACATCTAAAGAAGAGAAGAAGAAAATCAAAGTCAGCTACATCATCCATCTCATCCCGTTCTTATATGGAGCAATATGATTGTCAGTTCAGTGACATGTAGTCAGAAACTAAATGTTGGAACAGCTAAATATTGAGGTTGTTAAATAAAAAACATGCCTTTCGTTTATCCTTCGTAGCATCCCTCGAAAGACGCAGCCAGGCAGAGTATACGAGAGATTCATAAACAGTAACATATGGTGAATGAATGTCATTCTGTTCACAGTAACCGCTGACCCGAGTAAATGTGGCTTGGTTCTTTGGGTATCCAGAGATACTAATACTTCCTTCAATGTACCCTCCAGTCTTTCTTCCAGCTAAGACATCCATCAAGGTGGTTTTTCCGGCACCACTAACACCAACCAATGCAGTCAGAATACCCGGCCTAAATGCACCACTAACATCTCGAAGTAGTTGCAGTCGAGTCTCTTCAATCCCTTCGCTCTTCATTTCCTGAAAAGCACAAAAAATCGTTACTACCAAGAATCATATTTGACACAGAACAGTATTTGTCATCAATAAATCAAGGTCATAGTTTCTTAGACATAAATTCATGTCAACGGTTAATAGAAAGTAACTAATGTGAAAGATGAAACAATGTTCTTCCAGTTTATAACTAGAGTTAGCTTTTCTTTAGATAAGTTATCATATAATAACTCTAGAAATATAAAGCTCAGTGGAGCAAAAAGAAAAAACGACTTACCACGGGCATATCCACATAGTAATTGACATGGTTGAAAGCAAGTGAAAGGGGCTGGAAGGGCATAACCATTCCTCGTTTGGCTTGACCGCTTGCAACATTAACATTTGAACTAGTACTTCCTCGAGCATTTCGAACTTGCATATCAATACCTGTAATTGTTCATCATATATGAGACCAAAAAATTATTTTGTTAGCTAATCTGCCACACGATATGTAAGGTTTCTGCAGTAGAATTTGTACTACAAGCACAATGTGATGACACCAAAGAAAAATATGCAAGTGGTAACTAGAATTTGCAGCTAGCAAAGGCTGAAGTAATTCTTTATCAAACATATGAAACGCATCCCATCTTGCAGAAACAGTGAAACCATCTAAGTTAAAATCCACAAGATATATAATATTTCAACCTTCTGAATTGGACAATTGCTGTTTCCTCTTTGTTTCAGAGTCATCATTCTCGATCAGAGTTTTGGTTTCGCCAAGAGCTAAAATTGAGTCACAAAAAGAAAAAGAAGTAATTAATGCTTCAATCCATATTACCATAACAATAGTCCAAGGAAAATAAATGAATTGTTTACTTACGGTTTAAGAAGGTGAGTGATGCAATGAAAAGAACATTAAAAAGAACTGAAAACGCGAAGAGTGCCCCAATACAAATCCAATACCAATATTCCTCTGTATACAGGCCTCTCTCCCTGAGAAGGGTCTTTCCCACAGTGGGCATACGGGAGTTATTCAAAGGCTGCGCCATGGGATAAAAAAGTTTGATTAAGCTAAAACACTAGTTGAACCTGAATGTAAAACTCAAAATTATAATTGTTAATGTAGAGTGAGAATTTAGTTGAGAGAGATTTAAGAGAAATTACAGTGCTCCATCTGTCGTCAAGAAATTCATTGATAGCAATTGCATTTTGTCCATACATCATAGGTGAAACATAGTATCCCCATATCATCCATGGTTCAATATCATCTGCACAGAAAAATGAGAATATGTTGAACATTTCAAAACATATAAAAAAATCTAGCAGGAAAATTGATCTAAACAGTAGCTTACTTTGAAACAAAATACTCTAACAGTAAACAGGGAAGGATTCTAACCTTTAGCAACAATGTAACCTCCTAGAATAAAAACCAACAGCAGTGAAAAGGAACCGAGTGTGCCCGAAACAACCTCACTTCTACCAAGGCCAGCAATGAAACGGAAGAGGGAGACTGCCATCTGATGTATACCAAAGAAAGCCAAGAACTGTTTGAAGAACCTGATAATATTGGACAAATGTCAGACAGAAGATCCACCACCACAAAATTGTTTTGTTTTTCGTCATTTATTTAGCATCACAAAGCTAAAACTTGTGACAACAATGTGAGAAAAAATTACAGCTTACCTACTAGGAGCAGGTGCAAATCCTATGGTGTAATATGTTATGGCTGTCCATAAAAAAGATTCCGCCAGCGAAATGGGAATTCTGGTTATCCAAATGGGCAAGCCAAAAGCCCAACCAGGATAGAACAAGGCATCCCTCTGCCTAAAGAACACAGGAAGCCGGAAAACTGTCATTGAAAGCTCTCCCACTCCATTAAACATGACGTTGATGAGACTGAAAAACAGTGCTCCCCAAAACCTTGCCGAATCCTTTTCTTCCCCGTATTTCATTGTTGTCCTTAAGAATACCGTGAAAGCAATTGTTGCCATAATTGTTATCTGGGTAGTTTTGAATATGTATATAAAAGAGCTA